ATGGGCAATTACCACGGGTCTGCCACGACAAATAGGATGGATTAGGACTCCTTTGCCTCTTCCATTCCCATCAACTTGCTCGAAGTAGTCTGGTGCTAACTTGACTCGGCTAGTCCGCAGCATGCGCGATTTCTGTCACGCTCAGAGTGCATGGACGGCACAGTTATCTGTGAGTCCCATCTAAGTATCGCACACACCGTATCCTTTCATTTAACGCAGAACACTGTACGCGTTGACTTTCTTTACGCTAGGCTCCTAAGTACTTTCCTCTTGCTGCGTTATAAACAGCATTTGGTACCTTCGGATCACAATTCACGAAACTGAACGATCGTGCGGACTATTTATGAGTAGTTCATTTCTATCTGACCTTTTCACCACGCCACACATTTCCTTCATCCCACTAGGATTTGCACATCGTCAGAGGTTGGATTACAATCCTGATAATTATCAAAATGAACCAATTAACATCCGCTTTCATTTATCTGTTCATTCGTTTGTTTATATAACGTTCCTGCTTTTTAATTCTAACCTGAGCCTATTTCCGGTCCTTTGTTTTGCTTCGCTGCGTTCACAGCGTTCCCGTTACTGCGGCTACCCGATCTTAACCTTCACAATCCTGAATTACTTTACCTATAGCTTTCCTTATTTTTTATATAAAGTAGATTTTGTTTATTATTAGACATAAAAAATTTACTTTTTTGATTTAATGTTTTTTATGATGATACTTAGAAGTTCCGACAGGAACATAGGTCGTCAACATTGCCATCATGATGGTGCATCACGGAACATGCTATTCTTAAAATCGGTTCTTTTTATTGCGGTACAAAGAAAACATTACATAAAGTACATTTTGTTTGTGGTCTGGATCGGATATTTTGTATGGAACACATTTCACGTCTTCCCTTTTCTGCAACAAATATAGACCAGTGAGCGCCAAGATTCTGTATCCTGATATTTTTAGTCACAGAATACTTGTTTTTCCTTAGTCTCTGGTTAGTTTAGTGATGACATCGTATGGAGTGAAGGACGACCTCCATTGGTCTTCTTCCCATGCTAACAAACCCCACTGCCAAGTTTTTTCGAAACTCCAGCAGTGAGATGTCATGATTCATGTCCTTCTACACCACATATGCTTGGACATACGCCATTTCCATCATTTCAATAGACAGTCCGTGCCATCATTTTCGGATTTCCTGTCATATTCGTATATTGAACGCAGCATATCTGCTATGTCTACTCTGCACATGGCTGAATTGTAATCTTGTACCGTGTTAGGTGCCACTACGTCAGCCATTGTTTCAATCCTCTCTTTACGCGTCACAGTAATGGATTCACTTCCATGGCAACTGAACAACAGATGTACACACTTGTTGTCCTTCCATTTGAAGAACACAATTCCTTGATCTGTAGAACGATAAGCAAATCACCTCTCTTCATCTCTTCTTGAACTTTTGGTTGATGTTTTCTTTTGGGACGGACACTTCCGCAGGCAAAACTGTTGTTTGCTTTCAGATACTTAAATAGTTCCACAGATGTGAAATAATTACCCATTACCACGACATAACCACCGGTAGTATCATCTTTATCCAGTTCTTCAACTGAACTGCTCTCACATGATGTAAATGCATCAGAAGATAAATCCTCCAGAGCAGACTGTATCTCTTCTTCTGTTAACTATCTCTTATGATCCATTGCTACCTATGAAATAAGGATATCAATAAACACTCATATCACAACCTATGTATATACTATACTAAGATGATATCAATGACTTAAATTTACTTTTTGTTACAATGATAAATTAATACAATCTCTAAATTTTGCACCCCTCCCCCATCAATATGCTCAGTAAAGGCTCCAACTTAATATTATGCTTGAGACCTGGCGTTGCTTTCTGTTACCAACATTTGTGATATAAACATACCGAATCACGGCCCGTCCACTAAAAAACCGAATTAATAGGCTGGCAAGCTGCAACAAAATCGTAACTTCTACTTTCTACGAACTTTACACTGCTCCCAAACATCCACCATTAATCTACCATCGCCCATTGGACGTCTGAAGGACAGGTACTTCGGTCTATTGGGAAGTGACGGGTGAGTGAGCCAATCTGCAACATCAGGACAGGTACTGTGAGCTTATTGGCAATACGTCGCGCACCAAGCAGAAGTCATGTATTAAAATTTGCGCACCTAATCGTCAGCCCTCGGTAGCTCAGTGGTAGAGCAGCGGACCGGAAATTCGTAGACCGGGGTTCGATTCCCCGTAGAGGCACATTATTGTGCGTGAATTTTAATCGTGACTTCTACTTTCTACGTAAATCAACTAAATTTTAACAAATATAGCAACTACTCACAGTTCTTTGAAACCAATTTTCAACAGCACTCAACCTGAACTACAAAAGCTAATTGCACACACTGGAATTGTTGTCAAAAGGCTGTTGTACGTATTCTCGCGCGTACCGTCAGTAATGATGTTTGCATTTAAGCAATATTGCCATTTAAACAAAGAGGTGCTTATATGTGCCGCTAGGATACAAAGGATTAACTAGATTTATTTTACATCGCTTTGCGTGTCTCTTCACCTATTCCTAAATCGAATCTGCACCTTTGTTTGTAAATGCTTGTAAAACCACAGTTTATCCAGTACAAGTTATTCTGCCCACTACCCTCGTATTTTATCGCAAAGACCATGCGTACGTTTTGTGACTACCTTTGTCAATTGGTTTACGTAACAGTTGCCATAACCTAGCCAAGGCAACATCACAGTCAGTTTACTACTCCGAGAGTCGATGTTCTCCGTGTTCATCGGTACACCCGTGTACAGATGAAACTGCTAATCGTCATCTGTCGAATCTGGGTAGTTCCACTGGTGCTCACTACTTCGACATGTGTGAAGTCTGTCGCTGAGCTGGTTTTTCTGCAGCATGATCAACCATATTAGTCATCGGTCTGTTATATACTCCTCTGATATATTCGGAAGCATAATTTAATTTCTCACCCTTCGTTTCCTCCTGTACAGCTGGTCTATTTTTCAGTGTATCAATCTCCAGCAGAGTTCGAAAAAGAAATCCGACAGAAAGAAAAATCATGGGGCATTTCGGGAAACGATGCGTTACAGATTCAATATGGCCAGTGAGTACTGGCATCGTTTCTTATCTCTTTACCATTCGCTCCTACACAGATTGGTTACTCCCATCGCTGTCACTGCTCAAACTTCCTTTCGTTAAACAGTGATAAACGTCTTTTCCTTGTATCTCTTATAGTCAATATTCCTCAAGAGTTCACTTCAAATCCCTCCCTACTTACTATGCCCATTACCAAGAGCTGTATTGTTTCGAGTATGCATTTGTCCCCAACGCTCTCACATGACGCTCCAACGTTTCCCCATCCTGCCTTACGTTAACTTGTGGGATGCTTCTCTTATATTTGTATACTTTTGGACCATTCCGAGCTTCTCATTTACGAACCTTATGAAGAGGCTTTTACTTCATAAGATAGCCAGAATGCTTGCAGTCCTATGCAAAGAACATCAATCGATGTTCGGTCTGTTGTTCAATTAAGCACTTATTGGGTGCTCTTAAGAGTCTCAAGTAGCTTCTTCACAACAGCCAAATTGTTCGGTCATCACACATGCTTCCATTTCATCTTACTGGGGTTCATTAGATGCACTCACTTCGGGCTTCCAACCGTTGACTGGTCAGCTGTTTGTGCCACGGACAACGATGATGACTTGCATGCGGTTATCACTGACTGTGTTTCAGTGCGTCTCACTACCCACTGCCACACGCGTCACAAAAGCACACGCGATAGGTTTAACTCCTAGAGGTATGATTTCCTTTACCCAGCCGTTAACTTTCCCATAACATTACAGGCCGTTCAGGCAACTACTGATGTTAAGTTCTGCATAATTTGCTCACATCTCAACACGGTCATCCGAGCACTCTTTCTTATCCCTACCGAATCAACTAACAGCATGGAAGTGTTTTTGGAGCTCAACTTGCTTTCCTGCAATTATTCATGCCTGCATCCTATTAGTTTTTATCCCAAAATACCTGAATCTCACTGTTCCCAATCTTCCTTCATGTCACGTGTTGTCATTTGTCGACTCATTCTCCCTTGCTATTCACTCGCTGCCTTATTTGTTTTTCACTACCAGCTACGGTTTCAAGCCCATCTCCTCCTTTTCGAAGGCCCTCCTTTTATCGATTCTAGGCTTGGGGATAGTGTTCCAGTTGTTCCTCGCATGGAGCATCAAGCGTGGTAATCTACCAACATGGCTGTTTGAGACAAGGTCCTTGACGCAGTCTCCTGCGGACAATCGCAAGTCAAATGCAGATGGGTTGGATGCGTCGAGGTCAACCACCTGGAGAGAAGAACATTCTGATGACCGTTCTGACAACAGTCGATACACTGGAAGCAATCCTTTCTTTTGGGATCCATTTTCTGGGTTTAACACAATCAAACCTGTTACCACTGATGTCAAATTTAAGGTACGTATCACCGCGCGTTTCCTCGCCTCAGGTTGCATGAGTTAACCACCCAGCTTCTTGATGATTATTCGTGAAACATAACCGGCTTTTTTGTTTGGGCATCAACGCCTTTCTTCTGACTGCTAGTCTTTAGTCCCGACCATTAAGCTCCCCAGTGTTTGTTGTTGCCTAGTTTGTGCACTTGCCGTCTCTGCCCGGTATCCTCGGGGCGCTTTTGGTTCACATTCGGCCTTGCATGCAGTCTGAGATATACCGACGTGAGCAAGACAGAATGCAATTCCTGAGACTCCATGCTAGCACAGGTTATAGCGGAGCTTCCCGATCACCCACTTTAAAACTATGTCTATGAATCTTCATGGCTATCAGTTGTTGCAGTCTCTTCTTTTATACAAATCAGCTGCATCTGCAACCTGCCGAAGACTACAGTTAACAATATCGCTGTTATCTTCTCTCCCTGATTTTGCGTCCGTGTTAGCACATACTGGAAAGATACTTGCTGGTTACTCCAACTTTGCCAAAAATAGCCTGGCCAACATAACCATCGTCATCGTTGCCTATGGACGACTATCAGAGTGGGCGTCTAGACTCACTTGGTCACCTGGTCAACTAGCTCGGCCAACGTACTAGACGTAATATGCAGGTTAGGAATCTCGGACGCACATACCGACGTTTTTGACAAACTCCGTGGTAATGACCACAAGATGTTACAGCTTGTCTTCTACGTCGGAATGGATACTAAACTCAAATCAGTTTTCCGATATACTATCCACAGGATTGATGGGAAACACTTTCATGAATTAATCCAATCTTCCTTCTGAGATGCATTTTTTCTGTCCACTATAGTCTGCAGTTTATTGGGACAGTTCTATTACCAGATCCATCGTGTCATAACTCTACTTGTCCCACAAGGCTAACTTACTGTCCCTGCAAGCTTGACTTCGATCAACTTGAAAACGAATGAACCAATTAGAAAACTCAGAAGGACTGAAGACTTTTCACTAATATTGCAATTGCACAAATGTATTTGCCTTTGTTAAACGTTCGCAAATGATGCGTATAAAAAAGGAAGATAACGCCTGACAGATGTCATTCAAAGGAAGAGAACTAGTTGTGGTCAGATGTTCACAGCATTGACTGTCCTTACGTGTGCGCGTGCGTCTGTCTGTCCGGACACGCACTCACTAGCTGCTTGTTCTCAGCTACTTAGTCGATGCGCTTTACTTGCTTCTGGACACAATTCACGGTGCGCGCTACCAGCTCGGTGCGTTCTGTTATCTATCCTTGCGTGGTTTCGGTCATGTGTCTTGACTGCGTTCGCAGTCGCGTTAGTTCAGCACACGTAGACTTTAACACTTCTAATTACAACGTCATATGGCTAAATAAATAAATAAAGCTTTTATTCTCGATAAGGCGCGGCACTCCTTTACAGGCATGGTCATTTTGACATAACAATGCGTGATCAAGAAAGTGCAAAAAGCCGATGTGTTTACCATAACAGTGTATGTTTGTGTA